ATTTCGGTAAATCGAATGATATTTCAATTTTACGGTATGTTCTTGATTAATATAATATGCACATTATCGGTGTAATATCTCCAACAAACACATAATTCGACTAGCATACAAATCTCCACAACTCATGTCTGCAACGTCCGTGCTTTGTTATGCACCCCCAATCAAAGTCTCCCACCTCCACCCCGTCGTTGAGGAATTTCTTGCATGCGCTGTTAAGAAATTCCGCATACTCCATCGAGCAACGTCGCTTGCTGCAAAACACAAGCAACTCTGCTCATGCAGTATTGTCATCGAGTAAATGTCGTACTACATGACTTCCGTCCTCACATATCTATGCAATCTTCGCACACCATTTGGTCATGTGCATCTGCGCAATATCAACCAATGTCTTGCTAAATGTGCCAACTCTCAGCATGTCTACGCCATAATATCGACATAGGGCATGTCACAACGTACGTCAAAGCCATCACAACTAACAATTCCTCACTAGAAGGATACAACATCCTCATCGAATAGAACAAAATCAATACACGTGCAATTGATTCTCAACTTCAGCCAAATGAATTCCAACTGCTTCTCATGACTTTAGCTTTTTATATTGAAGCTCAAATGTCGAGTCAATAATCCAACATGCCTTCGCATGCGTTAATCAGCAAACACTGCCAAAGAACACTCCACGCCCCAAGTGGCCACAAACTCTACCGCATCAAATCAAGTGCCTCCTCCACCTGATCAACACTTATTGTAGCCATCACCAGCATAGAAAACTCACTTATCTGCAGTAATAAAGTTGTAGTTGATTTATTCAAGTAAACACCTGTTCAGCAGATTCATTGTACTCCTCAAGCATCAACCTATTCATTTCCACCTTCGTTGGACAGTATTACAGATATGTTTATGTACATAAATCAATTGATCATGCAAGACATTAAAAAGGTTGTAATGACATCAATTCTAGCTGTCTAATTCTAGCTGTCAAAACAACATGCACGAGGTCAGTGTTCTCCTAATCATTTATTGAAAGAGTAATGCTCTTCATAATCGCTCACTGCAGCAGTCGTCGTATGTGGCACACATATGACATGTAGTTATTTGATATATTAATGTGGTAGTTTTTTTTACCACATTAATACATTAAATACACATTTGATATGTGTATGGCACATAGGACGACTGCTGCAGTGAACGACTGCAAATAACATTATTTTTATTGAAATACAATAATGTTTCCTCGAAATCAGTAGTATGGCTCAAAAAATTAGCAACCATCATTAGTTCAATGCCTTCGAACGACATCAGAAATCAAACTAATGCCAACACATTTTATTGTTTATTGTTTCTTAATTTCAAGTTGACTTGTTAGCTAGGAGCATGAAGAGTTGAAATGCATCGACTAGCGAAAGTGAAAGTAAATTATTTATAAGTAACTTATAAGTGGGCTTCAAAAGTTAATTTAAGCAACTTTACTACAAAGCATATTAGCTTCTATTTGACAATTATTATTTTGATAAAATGGAGTTTTGAATAGTGATTTTTTGAAAAATACACGATTAAAATATAGTGAAAAATTTTGGGTTTACGTGTAGAATACTTTATTACATGAATGCATGATTGAAAATACATACGTAGAAAAAAGAATTTTGAAATAATGATTGTCAAACGGGGACTAACTTTTTCATGGAAGTTGCTTCTTTGTTTTTCAACTTCAGTTCAAGAATTTGCTAAAATATAAGCATGATCTTCCTCACTTCTCAAGAAAAGCTAAATTTACCTTTCTTTTTTCCTTTTTTTTTTTTTAAAAAAAAAAAACTTAGCCAAACATATCGATTTTAATCCTCCAAAACAAAGTTGACCACATCTCCATATGTAATCAACTAAGTTTGAAGCTTGTTTGATAAAGATTTTTCATTTTTGAGAAGCAATTCTTGAAATAAAAATTGTGAACGTATAATTATGGGCAAACGTGAAATATTAATTTTACATAAACTGGGTCTTTATTTTGAAAAAATAAAAAATAAAAAATAAATTTGTGGTTATTGCGAATATGGTGCACAGTCCCACTGCCACGGATGCCAATAATTTTGGAGCAGAATGTTCTTCTTCTCCACAAGCTGTCGCTGATTCTCCAAAACCCCTGAACTGAATACCAACTTCCTTAATTTCCACGACTCAACAGTCGCTGAACTCGCGACTCAGAAATGGCGAGTCTTACAAAACTCACTCTCTGTCTTGTCTTATTCTTCCTCCTACTCACCTCCCCACTAACGCTTTCTTCAACTCTTCACATCCGATCTTCCAAAAATGCCCCTCGCTTTCTCGCCGACTTCTCCCGCACAATCAACAATAGTCGACCGTTTAAAGCTTCTGAATACCGGTACGAGACCCGATATTTTGACCAGATTCTGGACCACTTTAGCTTTTCGGATCTTCCTACGTTCCGGCAACGGTACCTTATCAACACCGAGCACTGGGTGGGCTCTGGTCGATTGGGCCCCATTTTCTTATATTGCGGCAACGAAGGCGACATAGAATGGTTCGCTGTCAACACCGGCTTCGTCTGGGAAATAGCGCCTCGCTTCGGCGCAATGATCATCTTCCCTGAAGTAACAATACGTAAATTTATTATACTATGTATTAAGGAATAAAAAGAAGCTAATATGTTGTTTAATGTCCTGTTCAATATTGCATACCAAAAATAGGCTGAATGTTTTGCCACTTGTAATGATTTAATTCAGTAAAGGGACTCCTAGAGTGATTTATAGAAGTCTTGTTATTATGTGGTGAAACAACTAGGTAACTTGTATGGAAAGAGTAATTTTAAAATACATTGTTAATGTTTGTAACAAGATTTGAAGTACTTGGTTTGCAGCATAGGTACTATGGGGAGTCAATGCCATATGGAAGTAGGGAGGAGGCTTATAAGAATGTCACTACTTTAGCTCATTTAACTGCTGAGCAGGCTCTTGCTGATTATGCAGTATTGATCACTGAGTTGAAGAGGAATTTGTCTGCTCAGGCTTGCCCTGTTGTGTTGTTTGGTGGATCATATGGTGGGAGTAAGAACCTGAACTAATATACTGTCTGATGTATTATAATTTTTTTTTAACTGTGGTGTACAGTTACACATGGTAAATTTATTCATTATGAGCTCAAAAATTGCTATTACACAGTGTTGGCAGCATGGATGAGACTGAAATATCCCCACATTGCCATTGGGGCATTAGCTTCTTCGGCACCAGTTCTTCAGTTTGAGGATATCGTGCCACCTGAGATATTTTATGACATTGTCTCCAATGATTTTAGGGTCTGTTTCACCCTTTCAATCATCATATGGCTTTGGCAAATTTTAGTTCATATTCATAGGAGTCTCCATTTTTTGAAATTGCTCGTTGACTTCATTTCCAGAGAGAAAGCGTTGACTGCTTCAACACGATAAAGGAATCTTGGAATGTGATAACATCAGAAGGAGAGAAAAATGATGGACTTTCACACCTGACCCGCAATTTTCGCCTTTGCAAGTAAGTGAGCTCATTGGCAAGTTTTCAACTCAAGTCCCTTCTTTTGATTTTGTATAGATAAATTACAAGGTTGTAAATGTTCTGCCCTTGGCAATAGTATTTTACTTTGGTTATGAGGTTTGGTGAGTCTGAAATATTTAAGTTGAATTGGCAGGAAACTGGAAACTGCTGATGATCTTTCTAACTGGTTGTCGTCAGCTTATAGTTATTTGGCAATGGGAAACTATCCATATCCTTCCGACTTTCTAATGCCAATGCCTGGAAACCCAATAAAGGAGGTTTGCTATGCAAATAATTTGAATTTGATTGTCACGTTAATTATATAAAGCTGTATAAGAATATTTGGCACTTGTTATGCTATTGTAGGGGGAATTTTTTTCTAAGATCTTCTACTGTTCCAGACAATTCAATTGTTTGTCAATATGTGGTATCTTTTAAGTGAATCATTTCTTTTAAGGGCATATAAGTTGAATGCATGGACGAATTTTATACTCCTCATAAATGCTAAATCCTGTCCTAATGGGCACAATTGACTATGTTTTAATCCATATCTTGGCATGTAATAAAATAGCATGATTATATTATTGCCTTTATCAATACTAGCCTACAGATAGTTCTTATATTTTCCCACTTTAATGCTTATCAACATAATTATCCTTGTAAGGTATGTAGAAGGATCGACAGTTGTCCAGATGGGACTGGTATCTTACAACGCATATTTGAAGGAGTTAGTGTTTATTACAATTACACTGGAACAGTTAGCTGCTTTGATCTGGATGATGACCCTCATGGTATGACGAGTGGTTGGGATTGGCAGGTGTGAAATACTGAAATTGTTTCCATTTAATTCTTTTGCTTTTCTGTCAAAAAATTTAAAACTCCAATGTGATATTAACTAAATCTAAATGTTTGCCTATATTTTACAGGCATGCTCTGAGATGATTATGCCATTTGCAAGTAGCAAGAATACTAGCATGTTTCCTGCATATGATTATAATTACACTTACGAGGAAGAGTTGTGCCTTGAGAATTTCCATGTTAAACCAAGGCCAACCTGGATAACTACTGAATTTGGTGGACATGTACGAAAGTCATGCTCAAGTTTTAAAACGTTTTTCTATTCTTTTGGTTGATGAGTAATTTTATGTCTTTACTACCCCTTGATCTCTTTACTTATTAAGTAATGAGAGCTTTTGCAAACTAGAATCTAATTTAAAAACGATCCATTTTGCCGCATGTTACTTATCTTTAAAACTTGACACCTATATCATCGTGAAGTATTTGCTCAACTGCTGTCAACTAAAGATTATATAGGGAATTAACTAATTATATGCCTATAGTAGAATCTTATTTAATTGGAATCTGGATGCATGCATTTGAAGTCTTGTATGTTGCTTGATCAAGTCGATTCAATTGTTAACTTCAATGAGCCAGCCATTGACCCAGAAATTTCTGAAATGAAATTTGTTTCCCACTACATGACTCCAATGGACCACAAATTGTTCCTTTGTTTCTTCAATGCATAAACATATAAATGATTTATGCGGTCTGGTTATAGTAACTTATCTGCTGCTTTTTGCTGTTTCATTATGAAGGGATTTAAGGAAGTCTTGAAGACCTTTGGGAGTAATATTATATTCTCTAATGGTTTATTGGATCCTTGGAGTGGCGGCAGGTAACCTTTGTAATAGTTGTGTTCATTAAATTGTCTAATTGTCAAATCATTGACTGTAACAAATGATATCTGTCGTAGTGTTCTGGAGGATATATCAGACACGATTGTAGCTCTTGTTACAGAAAAAGGTAACTCTACCTAACTTTTTCAGTTGTTGGCCCGTTTAGATGATAGTGGATTTAAAGGCAATCGTACCTTCTTTTTTGCCATTGATGGGATTAAATGCATGGATGGTTAGGATTCTATGTACTCAATTCAATTGTGTCAGTCAAAACCCATTCAATTGAAGTTGCATATTGCTACCATCATCAAGTTTGAATTATGGAAAAAACATAGGTAACTTGTGTATCTTAATTGTTGTCGTGTTTCATTGTAACATTATTAGGAAATGAGTTTGACATTGGCCAATGCTTGTGAGTCTGTTACTGATTATAGAGCCTAGCATATGTGACCTTAGTCGAGTTTTGATGTAATATTCAAGCTCTAAGATTCAAGTAGAGCGCAGACCATGTAGCCTCAGCTCAAGTTATACTAAGCTCGCTGCTCGTAACTTATTTAAGGTCATTGTTGTGATTTGACGTATATCATTACATATAGAAGGTTATTCAATTATGTTGTACAGAGTCATAAATCATAAAACAATATTGTTTATCAGGTGCCCATCACTTGGATTTCCGTCCGGCAACTGCTCAGGACCCTGATTGGCTGGTCAAGCAAAGGGCAGCTGAAGTCGAGTTGATCAAGGGCTGGCTAGAGGAGTACTATAAGAAACGGGAGGCAACTTTTGACATGTAAAAGTGCAGATTGGCAAATTCCACTTATTTAAACCTTTGATGGTGTTGGTGTATGTATTCAATAACATGGGACAGTCAAAACTCACAAGGACACACGTTCTACTAACTCAACATAGATCGAGTTAGAGTAAGTTGACTTGACAGGAGTCAAGTTCCACCATTTAGTCTTTTGTGGTGCAACTCGACCCATTCTCTTTACTTGTGACTTTTGAAGTCAAACTCAGCTGAACTACCGAAGTTGATATACTCTTAAGATGGTATCTTGTCGTCATGAATTTCGTTGTTTGGTTTCATGTGAATTCTCCAACTCGTTCAGTTATGCACGTTATCGTGATTTAAAAGTAGTACATAAAATGTCCTTTAGCAATTGCAAATCAAATCTTGAAATTAAATCAAAATTGAGTAAAGAAAGAGAACATACAAGTTGATGTTACCTATGAAGATGGGGTTTGCAGAAATTTTCTAATTTGATGTTTCAATGAACATGAAAATGGGCAGAAAACTCTCTGACTTTTCCTCTGGCATGAGAATCAGTATATATATTGTAGAGAAACTTTGTAAAAGTTGCAAGAATTAATCTAAGAAGCAAAAACTTTCATCCTTTAAGCATATATATAGAGTTTACATTGATGACGTAGTCTAAAGTTCAAACTATTGTTCTATTTCAAACCGTCGAATGTGAAAGGAGTTGTGCTTTTATTCATTTCGAAAAGTGTGGAAGAATTTGGAAAATAGTTTACGATTGTTAAGATACGTGAAATGAAACGTTAGTGAAAGGTAACATATTAAACGAGTTCGACTTCTACCACCCCGTATAAGGCTGGTCGAGGTGACCCATTGCACATGGGGTTTTGTCGACACTTTGACCAGCCCCTCAAACGTCTTTTATGGTTTACCACGAGCATCCCTTGCCCTCTAATGGTGCTTCATAGGATTGAATATCTTTGATGCAACCCACATGAAAGTTCTCAATTATTTTTTCAGGTTTAGAATTTTAGTAATATATGATAGTTTCACGTTTTTCCATTTGATTAATATTTTGCTTATGATAATTCTACAATTAATGTATTAACTTAGAATTTTTATTATGGTATTTTTGATATTTCGTTATGGACTAAGATTTTATTTTATTGTATAAATAAAATCGTACAAGTCTTTTGAAAAAGGGAATTTGTTGAAATGAATGATTGAACGTTCTTAATTATGTATCCGTAATTTTGGTATTTTGTGGAATCAAGGAGTATTTTATGCCTAGCTGTCTAAAATTCACGAGTGAATCAATATAAACTAGAGATTTGTTCGCGATTTCCATGTTGTCATGCTTTTC